TCAGGCTGACCGAGCAGCCCCTGTGTGCCGGGCCTGGCCGGGCGCCTCCCTTCTGTCATCTCATTTAGCAACCCCCCCAACGCTGTTATTATCAGCCCCGTTTTACAAGGAAGGGACCAGAGGTACAGAGGTTGAGCAGCTCGCCCAAGGGGCTGCTTGAACTGCCTCCCCTGACTAAGGGATCGCTACTTTGTGCCAAGCACTCAGTCAGGAGGGGAGAACCGGAGTGGCAGAGAATCTAGTCCTGACAGGCTGGCAAGGTTAACAGACCTACACAGCCTCCCTCCGCAGACCATAGTCCGTGAGTGAGGGCTGTGGATCTGCAGAGAAGGAGGCTCAGATTCCGCCTGCTTGGGAGGAGCTGTGGAAGCTTCTAGTAGGAGGCATCTTCGGGTGTGGCTAGAAGCCTCACTGCTCTACTCCCAGTGACCACCACAACAGGAAGACGGGCAAGCCTTGGCCTCCAAAGTGCTGGTGCCCAGTGAATACTTGTCACCACCTCGGAGGCCACGAAGGAAGAAGGAGCTGCCTGGCCAGCTGCCCTGCCGATGACCCCACTGTGGCCCTGCCAACCTGGCCTGACCCCATTGGCTCCCAATCACAGGGTCTTGTCGGGCCGGCTAATGACTGTGCTGCCGGCAGCCCAGGCGGCCGCCCTCCTTCAGGGAAGGCAGCAGTTAACTACAGAGCCTGCTGGCCCCGACAGTGGCCAGGCCAAAAATCACAGCTGCCTGTCACACCACATCCTCTGGCCGGATTGCTGTCGTCTCCTCCTCTACCTTCCAGAGTCACAGAGGACACTGCAGAAGGCTGCAGCTCTGGGGGCTCAGACACCAGCCCACTCACCACAGACATGGGCAAACAGGACCACAGAAGGGGCCTGGTTCACCCCGAGTCACACAGCCGGGGCCTGGACACACCTGGTCTTTCCCTAGCCTTGAGAAGAAGACTCATTTCCAGCCGTTTTACACGCAAAGTATGCTCTCGAGGTACTCGGGTAAAGCTGAGGAGACAGGACGTCTATTCAGTGGCAGATAGGAGCTTGTCTAGCTGTGTGACCTTGAACAAGACAATGTACCTCTCTGAGCCCAGTTTCTGGGTGATAACACTGCTACCTCCCAGAGTTGTGAATGAGAGTGTCCATATAGTGCTTAGCACAGGGGCGCCTGGGTGGCTCGGTTGGTTAAGCGTCTGCCTTTGGCTCAGGTCCTGGGATCGAGTCCTGCATCAGTCTCTCCACTCAGCAGGAAGCCCGCTTCTCCCTCCGCCTGCCACTCCCCCTGCTTGTGCTCTCTCACGCGCTCTCCCTCTGACAAATAAATAAATAAAATCTTTATAAAGTGCTTAGCACAGAGGCTCATAGTGAGTACTCAAGGGCATTAGCTACTGTTAATATCATCAGCACAGTGTTATGAGTATGGAGATAGTCTACTGACTGTAAAATGTGATGCAAGGGTAGGTATTATTTATTACTATTCCCATGGAGTGTTAAAAATTCAGAGATGTGACCAGAGGGTTAGATAACCCAGGGATGTTTCTGGGGGAAACTATGACCCAAGTTGGGCCTAGAGAGACAGGGAGGTCAGGAAAGCAGCAGCAAAGGGGTAGCGATGGGGCCCCCCGGGATAGGGCTAGCAGATGGCGATGAGCAATACGCCAGAGGTCCATGCAGTGGCTGTGCTGGGCAAGGCCTTGAATGCACAACAAAGGGGTCTGGTCTTCGTCTTGCAAGCAAGATGAAGATGGGGACTCCATAACGCTTTCCGAAATGTGAATTCCGTCTGACATTCAAGGCCCTGGCCACCCACCCCTCTTCTCCACACCCCTCACTGAGCCCACAAACCCCAGTATGACTACCCCAGAGTTCTCCCCGCCCCTCTGCTTACTACACCATCTCATTTCCCCTGTTGCTAGCCCACCCCATGTTTCATGTTCACAGTGAAGCACCCTTTCACCAAGTACCCATCATGCCATGTGCTTTACATATACGACCCATAACTACACTTATTTTACAGAGGAGGAAACAGGTCTGGCAGGGTCAGCGTCTTGCTCACCGTCTCACACAGGAAGTGGCATAGCCAGGATTCCACCTTGAACTGATGTCGGGACCCCTACTCTCTCTAGCAAATTGCCCCTTGTCCCAGGCCAGACACCTTCCTCCTTGCTGAAGCCTTCTGGGTTACTCCAGTCCTCAGGAGCCTCTCCCTGCCAGCCTCCACCACCCATTTGGAATCAGAGGCCCGCAGCTTGATCCTAGCTCATCTAGCTTGGTTTCCATCGTTTCCTGTGGGTCTACCTTGCCCCCACCCCCAACAGGAAAAGAGCCAGTGTTGATAATAGGTCACTTTTTTCCTGTCCTGTCCCCCTCCCCCCATATCCAAGACTTCTTATACCACTGATAGGACCCACCCACCTGCTCTGGTGGGGTTCAGAAGCTCAGCTGAGCACAGAGCAATTTCCCCCAAGCCTGCCTCCCAGCTTATGAGGGGAGCCATAAATTATTCACTGTACCTTTGTGCCTAAGGAGGCCAGACAATGGGCCACAGAGGGAAGGAGCACTAGCTCCCCCCAACCCCAGAAGCCAACAGCCCTGGGGTGAGGGGGTCAGAATCTAGAGCCCCTTACCAGGGTCCCCAAGCAGATTCTAGAGGGCTGTGGAACAGGGAAGCAGCCAGGGGAGCGTGACCCAGGAGTCCCAGCTGAGCAAACCCAAGTCTGTGAGCCTGCAACCGAGCTTTCTAATCTAAGGCAGGCCTGAAAATTTCCTGGTCAAAACTCAAGCTTCCTTCCTTTATAGGGAAGGAAATAGGTATTTGGCCAAGCACTATATATTTATATCTCATTTCATCCTCATAACAACCTTGTAAAGGAGAAATTCTAATTTACAGAGAAGCCAGGGCTCTGAGGAGTGAAGTGCTCGGCCCAGCGCCACATGGTGAGTGGGAAGCAGAGCAGATTCACACCCACCTGGTCTGTCTGACTTCGCGCGGTCTGTCTGCACTGTTTAACCCACCCAGTTGGGAGCTAGCCGCCCCACTGCCTTTTCCATCTGGGTAACTTCCAGAGCACCTGGCATGAGTCGACTAAGTTTCTGAAGCAAACTCAAAGGCCCTGGGTACGTGGCTTCATCGCTCTGAGCCTCAGTTTCCCACACGTGGTAGCCATTGGTAACAAGCCCATTCTTGGCAGACATGAAAATCTCTAGAGCACTTGACAGTTTGCCAGGTGTGATGGCCCCATTATCTAAGCAGGTAACACACAGCCTGCCTTGACCCCATTTTACAGGTGAGGCTTGGAGCCACGGATGCATCGGAGAGGTCCTAGGTGCCTCCCCAACCCTCATTCTGCCTCGCTCCAGGTTCCAGGTTCTTTCCACCACACCATGAAATGAGATCACAGGTGTGAAATTATCTCACCAAAGAAGATCTTTGTTTAGATGCAGGGATTATTACGAGAATTTGAATCCTCACCGATGGGAGTGGGGGGAATGCCAAGCCCCTCAGTTACCTTCTCTTCTGGTGCCCCCAACCCCTCCAGCCCCTGCAACTGAGCTTCCAGCCTTCAGCTGACCTCTCTACCTTCCTCTACCTCCCAGGGGCTTTCCAAGGTTGTTTCCCCTAGACTCCAGGAAGCTGGGCACAGCAGGGATTAACTAGTCCCAGCCAAGGCCACGGGGCTCAGACCAAGGCCACATCCCCTCCCCCTCCCAACTCAGAACAAGAACCCACAGAGTTCATGCCAACCTATCTTTCACAACACCCCTCTTTTTGCATGGCCCCAGGGGGGCAACAGAAGGAGCCCCTGCCTGGGAATCCAGACTCACGGGACTGTGCCCCCAGACCTGCAGCCCCAGCCTTGAGACCTTGAGCAAGCCCCTTCCCTCCGGGGCCAGAGGTGTCTGGCAGGTTCCCCTGCCCAGGAGAAGCTGAGGTCGGACCTTCAGTCTGGGCCAAAGGCAATAGGGCTGCTGGCTTGCCTTGGGCCTCAGCAACAACCACACAGACTCTCAAAGCAGCCTCAGAAGTGGTCACCCTGACCTCATATCAGGGGTGGGAAAGCCCCAGGCACCCACCCAGAAGATGCTAACTGGGAGTAGATACGTTGAAGGATGTTTGGGAAGGTTTTCGAAAGCCTACCTCTGGCTCAACCACTTACTTACTTTAGGCCCCAGGGCAATTGGCACCCCCAACCCCCCAGCCTCCCATGGCCCATGGATAATGTGAAGGATGGGAGCTGGTGAGTGCTGAGAGGCCTCACCTCCCCAGCTCTGATGGGCTCTGACTTGGGGACCTCTAGAGTGAGTTTCCCCAACATGTAAGCAGCATCTCAGGATGCCATGGTGTCTTAGGGACTCTAGAGACTGGCACACAGGGGCAAGGGGCCAAGGCTCCCTGGTCTCAGGCCCACAAGGAGGGAAGCCGTGGACCTGGGAAGCTTCTCACTTCTGCCCTCAACTCTGGGTCACCTTTCCTGGGACGTGACTTGGCCATGGAGTGGGAGGGAAGGAGGCCAGAGGAAGCCACCTCCTGGGCCTCAGGGATCAGCTCTGGATCCCCCAGTGGCCCCACCTTGACCCCTCCCCATCACCTCCTGCCTCGCGGCTACCCACCTCCTTTCTCTCTCCCTTCTCTGCTTCTTTCCCTCTCCACCCTAACCCTCCTACCCATTCTCATCCCCAGAGTGAAAGAGCAGGGTCACTCAACCCCGCTGAGCCTCAGCTTCCCCATCTGTAAGAACACATGACAATACACAACACCTTTTTATGTCACGGAGTTGTAGCGAGAGGTACAGGAGGGACCATTTGCGCAAGGGTGGGGCGCGGACCCGCACACAATGGGCGCTCAATAAGTGCCGGTTTTCTCCCTTCCCCCGCCCTTTCCCGCCCCCTCTCCTACCCAGCTCCAGCCCCAGCTAGTGACCGGTACACGCCCGCGGCTGGCCCCGGCGCTGCCCCGCTGGGGTCGAAGGCCGCCCTTGCCCGGCATCCGGGGCTCTCTCACCTGCAGCTCTCGGCTCTCGCCGGCCGCCGGGCCAGGGGGGAGCCCTGTGCTCCCTTCTTCGGGGCAAGCGCTGAGCCCCTCGCCTGAGGCGGCAGAAAAGGTGGCAGCTTCGGCTCGCAGCACCAGCTCGGTCCGGCTCAGTCCGACTGCCCAGCCCTCCTGGGACTCCTCACGGGGCGCTGGACCCGGGCCGGGGCTTCCTGGGCGTTCGCACGGTCCCAAGTCCGAAACACCCGGCGAAGGCGGCTGAAGCTTCAGGTCTCGGGGAGCCCGAGCCTAGGGGCTTCTGCGCTCCTTTGCACTCAGTCGGGGTGCTGCTGGGCACCTGCCTTAAGCTGGGTCTCAGGAGGAGGGCTCCGACACACACTACAGAAAGGCTGGGAACAAGCCCGCAACCATGGACCGGTATGGTGGGCCAGGAGCGTCCCGCCCCGATTGGGTCGGGCGCTCAGGGCGTCCCCGCCACAACGCCCGGGATCGCGGGGCTGGGAGCGTCCCGGCGCAGAACCCCTGGCTGGGACAGGCGGGGCAGGGCAAGGCGCAGGCGAGGACGCTCGCAGCCGCGGCGGGGAAGTCTTCCCAGGTCCGGACTCGGCTCGCTCTGCAAAATGGGGCGGACTTCGGCGCGGCGGCTGACTCCGGAGCTCCGGGCCGCGGCTCCACTTCCTCCTCTTCCCCCCGGCTCGCTCGCGGCTCGCTCAGCCCCGCGCGGCAGCCGCTGCCACCCCCGCTGCTGTCATCCCTGCTGCCCACCCCCACAGGAGCGGCAGCCGGAGCCGAGCCCAGCCGAGGCAGCACCGCCCAGCGCCGGAGCGCCCGCCGGCGCGGCCCCGCTCGAAAGGGCGGGGTCAGCCGACGCCCCGCCCTCGCCCGGGCCACGGGCAGGGGGCGGGCACGCCCCAGATTCCCTCCTTCGACCCCGCGAGTCGGGCAGCAGCAGCCAATGGGAGAGCGGAAAAAGAGCGGCGCTCTGCGGAACGTGTACTCTAGCCCGGGGAGGGCGGGGCAGACAGGGAAGAGGTTGCGGCTGGGGAGAGGACAATGGAGGAGTGGGGGATTGTAAAGAGTGGAACAGGGTACAGGGTCACCTGGGGGACCCGGATGGTGGGAGAGGCTATGACAGCTGGTTTGTGTGGGATGGGGGCGTGGGAGCTGCCGTGTGTTGGGGAGTGGGGAGTCAGGAGATAAGAATAGGGGTTGGGGTAGGAAAAGAAGCAGGATGGAGGTGAGGTGGGGTTATTCGTGGGTAGTGGAGTCTCCAAGGGATAGGGGAGCTCTCCGGGGTGGTGGGACAGCGCCCTCGTAGTACTCTCCCCGCCTCCCCAGCTTCTAGGGCTCAGCGCGCGGAGGTGAACGTTGGAAGCTGTGAAATACTCAGATTTCTGGAAGCGGTGAAAAACAAGTTTTTGGAAAATAAAGAGCGGACTTTACTTTCTTTTTTTAAGAGCGGATCTTTCTTCAACATTTCCCCCTTCCCAGCGCCCATCCGCGGGAGAGTCAATGTCAGTTTTTAGAAATACGAAGTCAAAAGCACTGTGTGAAGATAACACACACATACACGTACACACTCTCCTTGAATAATGACGTATCTGCTGTCTGCTCCTGCCCTTCCCCTCCCTTCTCCTCCCCTCCCCTTCCCTCCCCCAGCGCCCTGGGGCAGGAGCTGTGTTTGATAATCTCCAAGAGTCCCCAGCCGACTGTACAGGGCAGGGCACAGGGCAGGCGTTGGGAGATTTTTGATGTATGAATGAATGAGTGTTGATGTGCCGCTGGGGCCATGTGAAAGCCACTAATTGGTCTGGGGAGCAAAGGAATGGAGGCTGCACAGTGCAGCTTTTCTGTAAGCCTCACATCAACCTTACACAGTAGGTACCCCATTTCACTGAGGAGGACACCAAAGCACAGAGAGGCCAAGTGATGTTCCCAAGACCATATGCCAGGCACAGGATTCTATCCACTCATCACTATCACTTTCTAGGGTAGAGCTGTGTGGCTTTGACCGGGTTACTTGACCTTTCTGAGCCTCTGGTTCCTCATCTGTAAAAGGGATATAAAGATGCTGCTACTTGGCAGGGACAGGGCAGGCACCAGACTTCAAAAGGTGGAGGGAAGGTTATTCCTAGCAGAGGAGACAGCGTATGCAAAGGCAGGAGTCACTCCTGGGGATCCCTGGCCTATTCTGGAGGATTCCTGGCCTATTCCTGAGGATTAGGAGAGGCTTCCAGGAGGGAGTAACAGGCAGGCTCAGGCCAGAAGTAGGGGTTAGCTAGGCTGTGGGGGGAACCTCAGGAAATGGACAGTGCTCTGGGCAGAGAAGCCAGCCTGGGCAAAACCCTGGAGGTGAGGGAGAGCATTCCTCGTTGAAGAACCCAGAATTCAGGGTGGCTAGAGCTCCCAGGGAAGGAACAGCAGACCTGATGGGAAGAGAAGAGTCTGGTGGGGCCAGACAGGAGGGAGTTCAGACTTTCTTCTAAGGGCCAAGAACTCTCTTGGGGTCTCCCTCATGATCCCAAACCCAGCAGGGTTATTCTGAGGCCCCAGCCTGGACTCACTGGTTGTCAGAGGGGTGCCCTGGAAGTTTTTAAGCCAGGCATTGATATGGGAAAGACTTTGTAGGGAAACCAGTTATCATGAAAACACTTAAAGCCCACAGGAGGCAAATGCTCTGGGGCCTGCACAGTGAAGGGTTGGAGTCCTCAGTGAGGTCTGGGCCCAGAGGCTCTGCCTCATCCCCTCTTGAGAGTGCACCAGCCTTAGAGTCTGGTTGGAAGAACAAGGAAGAGAGTGAGCTGGAGGCAGAGGTCCAGGCTCGGGGGAGGGGGCGCCCTCTCTTAGCCAAGTCCAGGGGTTGGGGTGCAGAGGTTGGTCCCAGGAAGCTCACACTGGTGGCTGTGGTAGGACTGGAAAGAGGCTATTTTGCAAAGAAAACTTTGACTTCTTCCTCTGCTCGGAATCTTCTGTGGCTCCCAGTTGCCAGCATGATCAAGTCCTAAATCCCTAGTCTGGTGTTAGAAGCCCTCCATTATTGCTCTCTGCCAACCTCACCAGCCTCATCTCCCAATCACTTCCCTCTCCCCTTGTACTAAACTCCTCTCAGCTCTGTGCACAAGCAGGTTGCAGTCTGTCCTTTGCATGGGGTTGCTCTTACTGTTCTCCTTGCCTGGGACCCCATATTCCTTTTCTCTCCCGAGTAATTTCTACTTCCCTGCTGGACTGAAGAGAAGGAACTTTAGGGCAAATGCCCATCTGCCCTCTTTCCTGCTATATCCTTAGAGCCTAGCACAGAGCCTGCCACATAGTAGGTACTCAGGAAGTAAATGTTGAATGAATGTCCCATCTCTCAAATCAAGTGTCTCCTTGCTGAGAAGGCTTCCTGAACTCCCCCCAGGGAGTCTGCCTCTGGTATGAGATCTCTTGGCTGGAAGGCGTGGTCATTACGTATTTCATGTCTAGTTGGCCCCACTGGGCTGGGAGCACCTCCATGGCAGCGTGCCCCCACCCACCAGCAGCCAGCAGAGTGCAGAGCAGGCCCCTGGAAGACCTCAACACTGGGGAATGAATGAGGCTCTCAGAGCTCGCTCTCTGGCTGCCCCGTGGGAGAGCTTCCTAGGCGGGTCAGATGAGCAGAATGCCAGAATGAAAAGGAGCTTTCAGAACAGCCCCACCATCACTCCTGAGGCCCAGGAGAAGAGTGCCCAAGGTCACCAGGAGGTGACCAGCAAACAGTTCTCAGACACCCACATTCGCCCTCTGGCTACCCTCCCAGGGGGAGGAAGTCTCCTGAGCTGGGAGAATCGGGCCTTTTTGCCACCGGAGAGACCCACAAAGTGAGACAGATTCACGGTCATGGCAGCTTGTCTGGGAGGGTGATGGAGGGCTCGGAGGCGGGCTCTGAACCTGGGTGTCGGGGACTGACAGAAGAGGCTCAGCCTCGGGCCCCAGCGCTCCCTGAGCCCCCCACCCCCCTTATAGCCTTCTGACCAGAGGAGGTAGCCACCACCCTGTTGGCACCGCTCCTTTGTATTCTCATCACAAAGATTCACTTTTTTTTTTTTAAAGATTTTATTTATTTATTTGAGAGAGAGAATGAGACAGAGAGAGTACATGAGAGGGGGGAAGGTCAGAGGGAGAAGCAGACTCCCTGCCGAGCAGGGAGCCCAATGCGGGACTCGATCCTGGGACTCCAGGATCATGACCTGAGCCGAAGGCAGTCGCTTAACCAACTGAGCCACCCAGGCGCCCCACAAAGATTCACTTTTATGCCTACATTTGTAGTAGGAATCTTCCATTCTTTTTCCTAAACAGGGCCACCAAATTGTATATGACTTCACACCCCATGAGCTCCGCTTCCCACAGATCCTTTTGGCGCACCCACCACAGGCAGACGCTGTCGGGGGCGGGGGGGCGGGGAGTGCCACGGGGCCTCAGGCAGACGCCCCACCACCCTCCTGCTGGTGGGGCTGGGAGGCTCAGCTGAACTCACAATACAGGCTGATTTCCGACCTCTCTGCCTCCGCCAGCCTGGATTCCTTGGCCGTGGAATTTCCTCCGTCCTTCAAGGGCCCTCCGAGAAGCCTGCCTGACTCCCCCAGTGGGAAGCACAGCGTGGTCCACTGAAGCAGGTGAGGTTGGGCGCCTGGGCAGGAAGAGCATCCAAACCCTGGCTGGCCTTCAAGGACGGTGGGCCTGCGGAAGAGTGTGTGCTGAGTGGGGAGTGGATGGGCTGCAGGAGTGGCAACAAAGTCACTTACCCACCCTGGAGGCAACGTAGGATGTAGGGCACTTGGGACGTGATGCTGGGGCTGGCCCAGTCACCTCCCGTCTCTCTGCTTCAGTGTCCTCATGAGTAAGATGGAGATGAAAATGGCGGCCCCTCAAAGGCCATGAGGACTAAAACGCTCAGTCAGCGAGGCCCGAGGTAGCATGGAGTTGGGGAGGGAGGGAGACACATCGGTCCCATAGTACCCAGGCGGAAAGGTCAAGAGAGCCCATGGCTGGAGAGGTAGACAGGGAGACCTGTCCCTCAGGTCTTTGTCACAGAGTT